CAGCTCCCCAAAGGCAGGTGCGGGCTGTTTGCTCAGTGAAGCCCAGCAAGGGTATGAGACCCGCCCTGGGCAAACACTTAGATCCGGCTCCAGGTGGGCCTGGGATGGAGCACCTACTACCACTGTGAAGGACACATCCCTCTCAAGGCCAAGCCAGCCCTGGGGGCCTCTTGGTGCTGCACATTTTTTGTTTTTTTTGAGACGGAGTTTCACTCTTGTTACCCAGGCTGGAGTGCAATGGCACGATCTCGGCTCACCGTAACCTCCACCTCCTGGGTTCAGGCAATTCTCCTGCCTCAACCTCCTGAGTAGCTGGGATTACAGGCACACGCCACCATGCCCAGCTAATGTTTTGTATTTTTAGTAGAGACGGGGTTTCACCATGTTGACCAGGATGGTCTCGATCTCTTGACCTCATGATCCACCCGCCTCAGCCTCCCAAAGTGCTGGGATTACAGGCTTGAGCCACCATGCCCCGCCACATTTTTTTTTAACTGGAGTGCTCTGGTACCATTTCAGCTCACTGCAGCCTTGACCTCCCAGACTCAAGCCATCCTCTCGCCTCAGCCTTCCGAGTAGCTGGGACCTCAGGCGTGCACCACCAAGCCCAGCTAATTTTAAAATTTTTAATAGAGACGGGTTTTCACCACATTGCCCAGCCAGGTCTTGAGTTCCTGGACTTAAGCAGTCTGCCTGCTTTGGCTTCCCAAAGTGCTGGGATTACAAGTGTGAGCCACCACACCTGGCCCGCCGCACCCTTCTAAGGGTCTCTGGAACCTCTCCTCCATGCCCTGCTTCCTGGGTGACATCACACAGGTCACTGCCTAATCTTCTAGAACAGTGCCCCAGGACACTGCCTTGTTGCCCTGGACAACTTAGGAATTTGCCCCATCAAAACTGGCAGGCAGGGTTACCCCTGAGGAGGGGGTGGGGGAAAGGGGTACGGGTGGGACCCTCTCATCTCCCAGAAGGGAGATCAAGGCAGCCATCATCTGTCTGACTAGATGGTGAGTAGGGGTGGGCGCCCTGGAGCAAGGCTAGACTTTCCCGCTCCTCATTGTCCAGGACACTGGGCAGGTTGGGGAGGCAGCAAGGGAGGCTGACTCTTGAGGCTGAGAGAGGGCAGTGACTGTGTCAAGGTCACCAGCAGGCAAGTGGCAGGTGCGGTATGTAATGGGAGTGGGAGGAGCAGGAGCCTCAGGTTAAGAGCTGAGAGACCTTCCTAGGTTCTTATTCCTTTTTTTTCTTTTCTTCTTCTTTTTTTTTTTTTTTTTTTTTTTTTTTTTTTTTTTTTTTTTTGAGACAGTCTTGCTCTATCGCCCAGGCTGGTGTGCAGTAGCCCAATCTCTGCTCACTGCAACCTCTACCTCCCCGGTTCAAGTGACTCTCCTGCTTCAGCCTCAGCCTCCTTAGTGGCTGGGACTACAGGTGTGTGCCACTATGCCTGGCTAATTTTTGTATTTTTAGTAGAGATGGGTTTCACCATGTTGGCCAGGCTGGTCTCGAATTCCTGACCTCAAGTGATCCACCCGCACTGGCCTCCCAGAGTGCTGGGATTACAGGCGTGAGCCACTGCACCCAGCCCCTAGGTACTTATCTCCGATTTGTCCCTGCTAGCAGGAGCTTTGTGTCTCTATTTGTACCCGGGGCGGGGGGGGCAGATGCCCTTAGTCTGAGGGGTCTTTAGTTCTGCTATGGGGAGTTGAGGGGAGTGTCAGGGACCAGGTCATGGGGTGGCTGACTCCAGGCAGGTGCTCTGACTCCTCCTCCAACAGCAGTGAGCAAAAAGTCTGGTGTGACTCTTTCTAAGTGCTCCCTTCCCTCATTCCAGGACTCTAGGTCAGTCCCAAGTTACTAGAGTCCCCTTATGGCTTCTGACTTGCTGTGTGATGCAGGAGTGCTCCTGTGCCTCCCACAACCTCAGCTACTCTGTCTGCGAGGTGCACGTGTGAGATCCTGGCCTGCCCAGTGCCCTGCGTAATGATGCTTCACATTCCCACACTGCTTCTCAGTTTGCCAAGCGCCTGCTCGTACACAGTCTCACCTTCTATACCTACTCTGGTTCCTGCTGTCTGTGATGCCCCATTCTGGAACTGGGACCCAGAGAGCAGCCAGATCTGGAGTCTGGCCTGGGGGCTCAGAGAGGCACCTTGATCCACTTCCTGTGGAGGGACCCTGATCTGGGGCAGGGGACTGCAGTGGGCAGAGCTTTGCCAAAACTCTTTCCATTGTTTAATCTTCCATGAGAATCAAATCTTGCCAACCATCATGTCAAGATGTTACCTTAACACTTTTTGTTGGAACCATGTATTTTTGGGCAGTGTATTCCTCCCTGCCCCACCCACCCCCACCAGTTATATTTTTAGTTACTTATCTGGAGGTGAAACTGGCACATATACAACTCTTTTCCCTGCCACAATTCTCAGAGGAAAGGTAGGTATTATTATTCCAGATGAGGAACCTGAGGCTCAGAGAAGGCCTGTCACTGGCTTCTGGTTGACACAGCTAGGAAATGATAGGGCCAAGATTTGAACCCAGCTCCACAGACCCTTTGTGCTGCCAGGCTGTGGTTGCTCTCCAGAGTCCTCTTCCAGAGCCCCTCCAGCCCTTCTGGGCTCATTCTTTTGCTCTGGAGCATATGGGGCCCTTCTCCGCTGTTCAGGGGTGTTTTGAGAAGGATATGAATCGGCTTTGTCATATATGAGAGGTTTTCATGAGACCCAGAACCAGAGATACTGAAATTCCTGGGAGGGGTGGCATTTGCAAAGGTAAATTAATGATGAGTAGAATGAGGTGCTACCCTTCTACCCACCTGCTGGTGAGGTAGCTTGGCCTAAACCTAGGACCCAGGGATGAGCCCAGCGCATGGCTGCTGGAGCCCAGGAGTGCCAGGTCGCCCACCTTTACTGACCCAAGATCCAAAAGAGTCTTGGCTCTTCTGTGTTTGGATCTGAGTGATGGTTTGGTTCTTGCCATCTGCACCTCCCTGAGTTTTTATCTCTCTGGCAGCTCTCTAGGGTGGGGAAGTCCTTCTATCAGACTGCCCTCACTGCTGCCTCCTGTCACTAGGCCTTGTCTTTTTCATCCTGGACTGGATGATGGGTATGAGAGGTTTGCTGCTCTGGTGCCTACTGTCTGCTGAGATGTGTTTTATTATGTGTGGCCCTAAAAAGGCAGGAGCCACCAGGCAAGTTCTGCCACCTCTTTTCCTCATGGCAGATCCAAGAGGATACAGTTCTCAAAGCAAAGCTGGCTTTGGCTCTATTGGGGTTCCCTTTGGGTTTTATCTGACAACCACACTGCCTGGGTGTCCACTGCTGAGGCCTGGGGAGGGGCAGTGACCTGCCTAGAATCGGGCTAGAGGCAGAGGAGGTAGATAGCAGAGAGTCACAGCCTGGGCGTCCTGAGCCCAGAGCCAGCCCCCAGCCACCCACTCATTCCCAGACACTTTTCAGGAGTGTGGTTTAGAATGGATGGGGTGATTATCTGACTGTGCCTCCCACACTGCAGATGGGAGGCCTGGAGATCTAAGGCCATTCACACAGGCCTCATGAGGACCTGCAGCACACTGTCCAGGATTCACTTTATAGGATGCCCTTCGGGGTCGCTTGCCACCATGGCTCCTCCCTGCTCACCCCCACTCATTTTAAAAATGTGGCCTAATTTACAAACATCTCCGTGGCGCTTTAAGCACTTCAGGAAGAAACACCTCTATTTGTGAAGCACCGTGACAAATCCTCGACTCCTCGTTTTTTTCTTAGCACATTTAAGAAAAGCTGTTCCATCCTAGAGCTCTAGGCTTGTGAGGCTAGGAGGCAGCTTAGGGTTATCCATTCTGATTCCCTCCGTCTGTAAGTGGAAAACTAAGGGCCAGGGAGGAGGAAGCAGCGGGGCACAGACAGGAATGGAGGTGGGAGGAGGCTGAGATCCTCGTGCTGGTCAGGATGACCGTGGACTCACTGACACTGGCTAAGTGATGGGTTCTTGTTGGGCCCTGTTAGTTGCTCATCCACAGGAGCTCACCATAGTCATTGGGACAGACTGCCACACTCACCCTGGGCTGGCCTCAGAGAAGTTGAGCTAGTGGCCACAGTTCACACAGAGCAGATGGAGGTAGAGCTGGCACTAGGACCCAGGGGACAGGGGGGAGCCTCCCAGGCTGGAAGGGATGGCAGGAGGGCTGGTGCAGGTAGCTATGGAGCTCTGGGCAACTCTGCCTGGGGAGGTAAGGGAGCCCAGAGCTCTAGGCCAGATGCTCTAGAGAGCCTCGTCTAGTCCATAGGAGGCGTGCATCTGTGCGTGCGTGTGTGTATGTGTATGTGTGTGTACATGCGCGTGTGTGCATGCTGAGAAGGGGTGCTGGTGGCCAAGGCCCAGAGTGTGGGGCCGAAGGGAGTCCCAGTTCAAGCTCCCAGGTAGGAGTAAGACTGGGGAGGAGATTTTGCCCATGTCTGGCCAGCCTGTGAACCTTGAGCCTTGTGGGTTGGATGGGCTTCCTGCTGGGTTTGCACATCCCACTGGGAATGGGGTTGGGTGTGTGTAGGCGTGGTGTGCCTCTGGCTTGGTGGGGGATGCAAGCTGTGGGCATCTCTGAGCTGCTGTGGGGCTGTCATCCCTGCGAGTTAGTCTCTTGATTGTCATGGGGGTGTGTGCCCATCTTTGGATCTCTGGGGTATTGCGTGGGGGCATCTCTGGGTTGTTCTGGGGACAGCGTGCCTGTGTGTAAATACTGTAGGTTGTTGTAGAGGTGTGTACCTGTGAATATGGGAGGTGGTGGAGAGAAGGGGTTCACAGTTAACTTCCAGAATTCCTCTTCTAGCACCTCGTGGCCCTTCCTCGCAGAGCCCACTCTCTCGGCCTCTCCTCACCCCGTCCCCGGTCCCCGCTGAGGACTGGCCCCTCGGGCGCCGGGTCCCCTCCCGGGGCGGCAGGGGCTGGCGCTAGGACCCTGCGGGGCGGGGCGGGGCGGGGCTCGGAGCTCCGTCAGCTTCACCTCCGCAGCCTGGAAAATCCCGAGCCGTGGCCGCCGAGCCCCTGAGCCCCCAGCCTAGCCGGAGGGGCGCGCGGGGCGGGGGCCCGGGGCGGGGCCGGGCGACGGGACCCACTGCTCCTCCCCCAGAGCCCCCGCGCGGCCCCGGGTCTCCCGGGCAGCTGCGGCGGCGGCGCTCGCACCCCGGCCCCGGCTGGCCCCGGCGGAGCGTCGGGCACAGGTGAGCAGCCCGGCCCGGAGGGCGCCCCTCCTGCCCCGCGCAGCGCCGCTGCGAGTTAGTTGAGCAGGTCGCTCCGTGGGCGCTGCCGCACCGTCCCTCCCCTCGGATCCCGACGGGCGCCCGCGGGCCACCGCGCCCCATACGCAGTCCCCACGCCTGCCCCAGGGGGTCTGGGGCACTCCTCGGGAGGGGGCCCCCGAGGCTGTCCAGCGCCCGTCTGCCCTTCCCCGGGGCCAGCCTCTGCCTCTCTCGAGCTCTCCACCCGCCAGGACCCCGGACAGCCCCACCCGCGCCCCCAGCGCACTGATTCCCGTCCTCAAACCGGTCTTGCAGGTCCCAGGAAGGTGGCGTCAGCATCTGCAGCCGCGTCGACGTTGTCGGAGCCTCCGCGGAGGACCTAGGAAAGCCGGACTAGGACCAGGGCCCTGGGCCTCCCCACACTTCCCATGGAAAAGCCGGCGGCCTCCACAGAGCCCCAGGGGCCTCGGCCGGTCCTGGGCCGAGAGAGCGTCCAGGTGCCCGATGACCAAGACTTCCGCAGCTTCCGGTCAGAGTGTGAGGCCGAGGTGGGCTGGAACCTGACCTACAGCAAGGCTGGCGTGTCTGTGTGGGTGCAGGCTGTGGAGATGGATCGGACTCTGCACAAGATCAAGGTAGGGTTGCCCGCTATACCTGCAGCCTCCACTGCACCCTTACTGCCTCTCCCGGAGTCTCCTGGTCCTCTCTCTGGGCTACAGACACCCGGCTATGCTTCTGAGCCCAGAGAAAGTCTCCTGCCAGGGACCGGGAGGAGGCACAGTCGGCTGGGCCAAGCCCCATCACACAGATGGGCCAGCCGAGGCCTGGAGAGCAGGATTGACTCACCGTGGCTCTCTCAGCTGGAACTCAGGCTTCTGCATGCGCCTGCCTGCTCCAGGGAGCTGGGCTGCTCCCAGGCCCATCTAGGAGAGGGGTCTCCCTTAGGGAGCCCTCTGCCTGGGAAGCCTGCACCTGTTTCCTGACTTGAGTTATTCCAAGTGGGAGACTGGGCCCTTCTCTTTCTGATTCCTGGTTCTCTTAGCCTGAGCAGGTCTCCTTCCCTGCTTTCTTCACCCTAGGGTGCCCAGGACCTGATTCCTTCCTGCCTAATGCTCTGCTCTTGCTCTTTACCTTCCCTCCCTCCCTGGCTGCTCCCTGAGCCTCCTGCAGGGACTCAGGATTGTGGCTGGCAGATCCTGAAGGCAGGGCTCCGATGCCCCAGCCTTGCACAGAGCCAGGCTGTAAGTGAGCTGGGGGAGGAAGGGTGGAAGGGGGCTGGGGTCAAGGGAAGCCAACATAGGAGGCAGTTTCAGACACATCTGCTGCTCACAGCTGTCTTCCCTTTTCCTCCCAACTCCACAATTCTCCTCTTTGCAGGGCAGGCTTGGGGTTTGAGACCCTGGGAACCCACCTCCCCCAGGGGACCAGATGGGGCAGGGGCTGGTGAAGACTCTGGTTTAGAGGCCTCAGTAGCCGCCCCCAACACATCTGGGATTGCTGTGGGTGCTACATTTCCAGGGCTGGTAGGTCTCCCTGCAGTGGGCTCCTGGTAGTAGGCTGTGCCCTTCGCCTCTGTCTTCTTTGCCTTCTCCTTTCTTCCATCCTCCTGGAAATGTGGAGGAGTCCATCTTCCCCTTCTGCCTGGGACCTGGTCTCAGACTTAGTTCAGGCATGTATCTTGGCCTCACACCAGGGCCTGAGAGGTCTGACCTTTCACCTCTGACCCTGAGCCCTTCTGTTTCACTTTGTCTTAATCATTTATATATAGTTCTGTCCATCCCCACACAATTTTCTGCTTCTCCCTTTCTGCTTTACCTTCTCCCATCTGACTCTGTCTGCACCTTGGCCATCTGACTGTCTTTTGCCTCAGACTTTCCATGTGAGTCTCCCGTTTTGGGATTCACTGCCCAGAGCTCAGGACCCTGACTTGTGTCTAAGCCTGAGGCGCAGGGAAGGGGAAGGCAGCTGGCATGTCCCTTTTTTTTTTTTTTTTTTTTAGAAGCCTTGCTCTGTTGCCCAGGCTGAAGTGCAGTGGTGAGTTCTCAGCTCACTGCAGCCTCCACCTCCTGGGTTCAAGCGATTCTCCTGCCTCACCCTCCTGAGTAGCTGGGACTACAGGTGGACACCACCACGCCCAGCTAATTGTTGTATATATAGTAGAGTCAGGGTTTCACCATATTGGGCAGACTGATCTCAAACTCCTGACCTCAAGTGATCCGCCTGCCTCAACCTCTCAGGTTCTGTCCTCTTTGCCACCCAGTATCCAACACAGATTTAGCAGGATATTGTAGAAGGGAAGCGGAAGGAAAGAACGAAGGAACAAACTGAATGAAAGGTGAGCAAGGGAGTTCACAAGAGCCTGATTGTGACCTTCAAAAGGCTTCAGGCTGGCAGTACACACTGGGGGAGAAGTGTAGTTTCCCCATGAAGCTGGCACTCTAGAAAGTCAGGGGAGGAGGGGTCTGAACAGAGGCCAGTACTCCCACCCTCTGTGTCAATAGGGCGGAGCTACCTCCTCCATCTGGCTTGGTTAATGAATAAACGCCGCCCACCCCAGGCCTAGAATTGGTGGGCCTAGGGGCCAGGCTGACTGCAACAGACCGCTCGTGGCCAGATCAGACTTGTCTGGTGGCCTTCCTTGTGGGTGGTGGGGACTTGGAAAAATTGGGCTATTATCTTCTGGACAGGCATACACCCTCCTGGGCAGCCAGGACCCAACTTTCCGTTTCTTTCAGACTAAGCAGATGCTGGAGGTGCCAAAGGGCCCTTGGTAATCCCTATGTCATATCCCTCCTGCCCCTGAGATGCAGGCGAGGATACTGGGGCTCACAGAGGGGCAGGGACCTGCCTAGGGTCACACAGCTGTCTCAGTAGAACTGGGCCTGGAACCCAACCTCTTGGCCTAGTCCTCCTTCCTTGCTTCTCCCTGCAGACTGCCTCCCCAGTTTTGCTCCCCACAACGGAGAGAGGGCGGGGAGAGGGGGTGAGCAGAGCGCAGATTTAGGAGGGAGGCTGGGACCCTGGTAATGGGCACCCCAAGGTGCCAGCTCCCCATTCCTGATCCTCTCAGCATAGCTAGTTGGAGCTCTGGGAGATAGATGGAGGCCTCTGATCTTCCCATCCCCAAGATTCCAGGACTCCCAGGTTCCATGCAGATAATCCCATTTCTGATAATGAGAGCCCCTGCTCTGAGCCAAGCATTTCTCCCCCTCATCTAATTTACCCTGAGGCTAGTCTGGGGCGGTAGCAATCTTGTCTTGTCTCCACGTTACAAAGAAACAGGATGAGTGAGTGATGTTATTTGCCTAAGGTCATGCCACAGCTGAGCAAGAGTGGAATCCATGCCAGCCTGGCTCCAGAGCCCCTGCCCCTCTCCGCATGGGCTTGCATCTTAGTCAACACTGTGGCCTTTAACCCCATCAATAACTCTTTGAAGGCCTGGAGGACGCGGTGTTCTCATCATCCTATTCTTCTTTGATGGATGCGAAAGCCAAGGCCCACAAAGGGGAGTGGCTTGCCAAGGTCACTGAGTAGGTCTGGAGCCAGAGTCTCCAGCAAAGACTGGGTTGGTTGCTCTAGGAGGCTGGGACTCAACTGCAGGTGTTTGCTGAGTTTTTGTGCCCTTTTCCCCCTCTCCTCTCCTGCCCCAGCCTGCTCTGGGCCTGTGCCCAGAGATAGGAAAGCCAGCTGCCCCCTGGACATGCCCTGTGCTCCTGATCCCAGGATGGGGGATGGATTCTACCTAGCTATCTACCTAATTCATTTCCTCCTCCTAATCTCTTTTCCCCTTACCTGGGTCCAGAGGTCCCTGTAAGCCACCGTGGCTCTGGGCCCAGTAGTTGGAGCCAGGACAAAGGGGAAGGGGCTGTTGATGGCCACTTCCACGCCTTCCCTTCTCCCTCCCTCCTGGCCTCCAGCCTGACCTGGCCCCAGGGCTGTACTATGCTCCGAATATTGGAGCAGAGGCAGACACCACCCACCTCCTGAGAGTCCAGGCCCTGTCCCAGGGACAGATGCTGAACGTGGATCCTGGATATAAGGCAGGGGGCAGCTTGGAGCCTGAACTCAGGTCTTTCAAAGCCCAGGTCAGCTTCCCCATGGCACCTGTATTGGTGTGAGAAATGGAAGACCAGGAGTTTCTATCAGTCATTCAACCAGGGCCAGTGGGTGTCCAGTCCTGGCTGTTGCATGTGACCTTGGTCCCATTCTTGCCCCTCTCTGGGCTGTTTGCCCATCTGTACCATTGGGTCCTTCTGGCTTCAAGAGCCTCTGAACGCAGCACCCAGGCTGGGGCCCTGGGGGAGAGATGAGGAGCAGACAGACAGACAGACTGCAGAGGATGTGGCCTGCAAGGCGCTGCCCTGGATGTGCACGTGCTTGGCTGCCCTTGATGCCTGCTACGTGAGAGGCAGGGGAGACCTGGGCATCTCCTCAGAGGCCTCCAGACCCTGGTGGAGAGAGGACAGACAGTTCCAGGTGACCTCCTACCCACTGCACAGGCAGCCTGGGGACAGGAATGAGACCTGATAAGAGCCTGGGCCCCTGATGAGAGAGGCCTGGCCCTGGAGCAGGTGTGGGATGGGGTGTGGCTTGGCTGGCCACAGGAAGCTGGGCAGTGAGACCTGTCTCCTGACTTCCTGTCCTGCTGCTCCTCCCCTCCCCCTTTGGGGAAAGCTCCGGTGGCCCCTCCCAGCGCTGTCTCACTGTCCACCTACCCCATACCACAGGCCACCTGGGTTCCCGACTCCCAGGCCAGTGCTCAGCTCATGCCCTTCAACACCTCACCTTCTCGCCCTGTGAAATGCCAGATGGCTCAGGGGTCTCCGAGGCCTTCCCACTTTTACCAGTCTCTGGGACACAAAAGGATCATGAGGAAGGTGGGGCCAGGGCCACGTGCTTTCTTTATGTCTCCTCACTGTGTCTTCCCAACTGTCCTGTGGGATAGGTCTCCTTAATCCCATCAAGCAGACATGGAAACTGAGGCTCAGGGCAGGAATTCACATGTGCACAGCCAAACAGCCAGGCTTGGCTGAAGCTAGATCAGGACCTAGGTCCTTGGCTCACCAAGGCTGAGATCTCACCACTCCCCTGGGCTGGATTATTAACATGATTGGGCCGGGGGGTCTCCGTGTGCTGTGTCATTGTGGGAGGGTACCTTGGAGGGCACCCAGCTGCGCAGGAGTCCAGTCCTCACTATGTGACTTTGAGAGTCACGTCACCTTTCTGGATCAGTCTTCTTATCTGCGGTGGCAGGGGCACGAGTTAATCTATTTTTTTTTTTTTTTTTTGAGATGGAGTTTTGCTCTTGTCACCCAGCCTAGAGTGCAGTGACGCTATCTTTGCTCTCTGCAACCTCCGACTCTCAGGTTCAAGCAATTCTCCTGCCTCAGCCTCCCTAGTAGCTGGGATTACAGGTGCTCGCCACCATGCCCGGCTAATTTTTGTATTTTTAGTAGAGATGGGGTTTCACCACTTTGGCCAGGCCAGTCTCAAACTCCTGACCTCAAGTGATCCACCTGCTTCGGCCTCCCAAGTGCTGGGATTACAGGTATGAGCCACCATGCCCAGCCAAGTTAAGCTAGTTTTAGGGCCTTGGATTGGGTCAGTTCAGGCTCTGGCTTGGCTCTGCCTGCTG